GTGGACGATGCCATCCTGATTTAGGAGGTTGCAGGACATGATCTGTTTGGTCATGTGCCAATACCACTTCATCCAATCACCACAATAGCTCAGCAGCTACTGCTCTGGATGTGTGTAAGTCTAGAATAAGATACTGAAACGGCAGTCCTTAAGGTATACAGATAGGGGTCTTTTCTAACCTCAACTGCAAGAAGCTAGGGGTTGAACCCAAGGCCATTTGCATTTAAAGTACTGCTGAATAGCTCAGTGGCTTAGGTCTCTGGCTTGGGAGCTCAATTCCTCACTGTGCCTCTTTGAGAGGGGCTCAACGCGATGATCTGTAGGGTCCCTTCTAGCACTGCAGTTCAAAGGTTATTATATACTCTTCTACTGAACTCTGGCCTCTCTCAAATAAATGTGTTTGGAATCACAATCTAGTTTTCCTTTATCTCTCTGTCAATCGGAAGAAAGGTTTTAGGGCTTGCTTTCTCCTTGAGCAAGATCAGTTAAGCACTTATCAGTAAATTTCTGATGAAATTTCTGTTTTATTTTACATAGTGCGAAGGAGTATCCTCAATCAGTAAAAAGCTTTTTTACATGCTCAGTTTATCCAAGTCAGAACAGGTTGCTTGAAATCTGTTGGGTTGCATCAGAAAAAAAGTTCAGCAGCCACAAAGTGTTGGTATTTTTTAGCTATTTGGTTGGATCAGATGTTCCGTATGGAGAGCATAAAGAGGTAACTTATCATTCCTAAAATAATTATGTGATGTTCATTTCCTATTCCTTCTCAATGCATAGCTCAAAATTCTGTCTGATCATAGAGCTGAAGGGACAGTTTAGTGGCTGAAAGCACAGAATGGCAGGGATGTTTTTCCAGCAAGGATATACAAAGACTATCTGGCCACTCTCAGCTGAGTCACTTTATAGTATCCCCCACCCCCTCTTGGCCTTCCAGGAATTCCTGATTCAGAAATATTATACACTGGTGCCTCGCTTAATGGGCGCCCCGTTTAACGACGAATCCGCATAGCGATTAAGTTTTTGTGATAGCAAAAGCGATCACATTGTGATGATTTAGATAGTAAAAAATCGCTTTGCGATGATCGGTAAGCTGTTTCGCTTACCGATTTTCGCATAGCGATGTTTTCAGAACAGCTGATCGGCAGTTCCAAAACGGCCGCCCGCTGTGTTTTCGCCATTACCAGCTGGCGAAAATGGCGGCCGTATGGAGGATTTTCGCTGAACAGTGAGTTTTTTGCCCATAGGAACGCATTAAACGTGTTTTAATGCATCCCTATGGGCTTTTTTGTTCCGCATAGTGACGAATCCACATAGCGACAATTTTTCCGGAACGGATTATCGTCGCTATGCGGGGCACCACTGTACACGGTAGGAGGTTTGGATGCCCAGAACAATTTACATCTTGACAGTTGACTCAGCAGGTTAGACACCAAGTATTGCAATTCTATCTATAATATAAACACTATTTCTGATTTTTCAGTGGTACATATAAATTGTATATATATATTGATGATACAGGCTCTTTTATGGTGTGATGTGTAAGTGAACAAATTACTTAGAGGGAATCTGCACTCAGATTACTTAGAGGTAAAATTGTAAACTGCATGTGTTTCTTCAAAGACAGGAGTAGCTATACAGTGCGCTTTAATTGTTAGCAGTAAGATATCTGGAAACGCATCTAGGGAAACCTCATAGAGCAGGGGCAATGGTTAAAATCCCTGCACAGGATGGCATATTTCCTGTACGGGATTTAGTAGAAATGGCATTAAGCGATGCATAATTTGGCTATTTATTGCGCAGAACAGTAGCTGAAAACAAAATCAGAAAGAAATGGGATAGCAGGGGTATAATTTGCACAAGGCAGTCAAGAAATCCAGCTGATGCAAGGAGAAACTTGGGGGGAGAATATTAGAACGGTGAAACTTGAAAAGTGGCTGAGAATGGGCCATTTTGAGAGTATTCACCACATCCCTACCTTACAGGGGACAGAGACAGAGATAGAAATATTTGTATTTTGTGGAATAATATTTCTTCTTTTGGGAAGTTCATGGGCTGCAAAACAGCCCCACCAGGCACATGATTCTTCTCTTTGCTATAAAGCAATGAGCTTCAGTAAAAATCGTCGTTTTTGTAAAGATCTACCTGTCATATTAATTTTGCAATTGGTATGTTTTTCATTCAGAGAGAATTCCAGAAACTCCATTGTGAGAATTTATTGTCCACTTCCAACAATCTTTTTTAATTTTGGCATTTTTTGTAGTGTTTGGTGCCAACGAATGTCACTTCAAAGAATGTTTCATCTTCCCTTCAAATAATTTTCTAAATGTTAAGTACACAAAGACATTTCCCAGGACCAAGTTATTAGGAAGGAAGACATGGCAATAACTCTTCTTTGCAACATTCACTCAGAAAGAAAATGCTGTGGTGGCTGAGCTTACACTATATGAAGGGGTGGTGGTGGTGGGATTGATCAAAATAAACAATTCCACAATTGTTGCAAAAAAGATAATGTAGGCAGGGTTTCCAGGGTTTTCCAGGTAGTGAATACTTAGCAGTGGTTTCCTATTCTTCTGGAGCCATCCTGGGACTGTGCAGCTTGGCCAAGGCTACACAGGCTGGCTCTTCCAGGATGCCCAGTCAGAAAATGAACTCCCAAACTCTGGCCCCACACCCAGATACCTAAATCACAGAGTACCTAGCCATCCCTCCAACAGAAGAAGGAAATGGTAAACCACTTCTGAATACTCTTGACCCAGAAAACCTTGAAAAGGGCCACCATAAGTCAAAATGTACTTGATGACACACAGTTATTATCCAATTCTGAAAGTAGTGCTTTAATTGATGGAACTTCTTGTATCGGAGAGGAAGGGTGCTGCCAAGCACATCAACTTTTCTTTCCAATACTTGATTTCTGTCATGGACCTGCTGAGTTGTGAATGCCCAATAATAGGATTCAGTTGCCTAGACTTTTGGATGCTTGCAACCTCCTGCAATTTCAGTGGCTAGAACTGTCAGAGGCCATCACGTTTTGGAGATGCTCTTGCATCTCTCTTGGTCTGAGCTGTTTCCCTACCTGAGCTGCCATTACAGAAGTGATTGGATGGCACGTAACAACAGATGCTACACTATTAATATAATAATTAATAGTGTGCAAATGGAACTTCTTTTTCCTTACAGTCGTCCTTAACCTGTCATTTTGGACGTCCCTACCATTGTTTTCATGCAAAGGATTATACCATCTGTGCCTTAGGGTGTGTGTGTTTGTGTATGTGTGTGTGCTTTCTGTCATTCTTGAACATTATTTACAGAGTATTGTCTGCCAGGGATGGGTTGTGAGTCTTTCTAGAATTAATAATGAGTGTTTTTGGCATTGTAGTAATGGGACTCAAGAGTGAGTATTAGTTAAACAGCTGGCATCTGGTTTGCAATATATAATCACACTTAATTGAATCATTGCCATTTTACTTAATCACTAGTAACTGCATTATAAAGTCTGGAGATGATTAGTGGTAAGAGTAATAACATCTGTCTTTTGAAAACATATGAAATATGTTGTCACTTTGCTGACACCTCGCAAGGTGGCTTTACTCATGTTACCTTCCCTTCTCCCCAGGCACATGTTCACACACTGCACTTACAAAACAAAAGAAAACTGAGATTAAAACATTATAATGTTTCCTTTCTAACAAAACTGTTTCAGATCATCTCAGTACAAAGCGCTTATGAACTGTCATTCCTGACAGCTCAGAGTACTTTGGTTTACTTGATTTGCAGATTGGGATATGATAAGCTTTCAGGGCGAGCTGCTATAAGATTTTAACCACTGCTTAACCACTGTATAAAGTTCTGGAGACATGGGTGTTTCATGTACAGAGATGAGAACTGCCATTCCCTTTCTTCTTTTTTCTTGATTATTAAGCTAAAAAGAGACACATTGTAAAGCTGAAAACTCTAGTGTTGACCTATAGCTATTTAATAGTGGGCATGCTCATAAAATATGCCCCACCACTGCATGCCTGTCCAGATTCTGAATTTTTTGTGCTACCATTAGCTGTGCTTTCTAATCTAGGATTTAGAATGTCAGAATCTTCTGCAGGTATATTTCTGAAATGTTATATATTTCTGGGATTGAGCCTCATGGCGCAGTGGTTAAACTGGATGTTATATATTTCTGGGATTGAGTCTCATGGTGCAGTGGTTAAACTGTAGTATTATAGTTAAAACTCTGCTCATGGTCAGCGTTCGATCCCAGCAGATTTTGACAGCCTGCATGAGGTTCATTCATGCAAACCCAAGCATGTAGTTTCCCTTAGGGAGTCGGTCCATCTCATATTTGGTCCCCAAGCATATAGTTTCCTTTAGGAAGTCGGTCCATCTCATATTTGGTCTTCCTCTTTTCCTGCTGCCTTCCGCCTTTCCCAGCACTATTATTTTTTCCGGAGAATCCTGCCTTCTCATGATACAGCCAGAATAAGACAGCCTCTGTTACAGAATATTACAAGACTGTTTTTGGCTCTGAAAGATGTTTGTACTCTCAGTTGTAGACACATAGTTTCCTTTAGGAAGTCGGTCCATCTCATATTTGGTCTTCCTCTTTTCCTGCTGCCTTCCGCCTTTCCCAGCACTATTATTTTTTCCGGAGAATCCTGCCTTCTCATGATACAGCCAGAATAAGACAGCCTCTGTTACAGAATATTACAAGACTGTTTTTGGCTCTGAAAGATGTTTGTACTCTCAGTTGTAGACACTACATGCCTGTGGGAAGAAAGGCTGGCAAAGAGAAATGAATGCAACAAATTGTATTTAGTCATCTTTCCCAACTGAATGAAGCCAAGATGGCAGTCCTATACACATGTATTCAGGAATAAACCCTACTGAAAATAGTTGTACTTGCTTCCGACTAAACCTGCACTGGTACCAAAGCCTTTGTGATAGACAAGAATGAGCTGGGCTTGGAAGCCAAGCTGCTGAAATGAATGATATTTCTTTTGTCTTCACAGTTAATTGGGAGACTGTATGGAGAGCCAAGACTACCAAGAAATTTGAGATCCACACCAACATGAACAGCAATGTGGGCCTCCTGAGAATCTTTCCAGGGATCACTGCAGATGCGGTCAGCCTCCCTCCCCCCCCAATGATAGTGTCATAAGAAGAAAGCAGTGAGGACATGAGATGTGGGAGTGTGGATTACATATAATAAGCAAAGAGAAGAGGCATTGGTATTACTGAGCCACTCCCAGAGGGCTTCTATGCCAGTGATCTATCTCCTCAGGGCTTACTTGTTGTAGTTGATGCTCCTATAATACTTGTTCAGATGAGGGAGGCACATCCAAGCATGCTTTGCATAATTATTGTCTGCAGTGCCTGGAGAAGTTGCTTTTAAAGCTACACCTTCCTGAGCCCTCCAGCGAAAATAGCCACTGGCCATGCTGGTGAAGTTCCGGAAGAAATAACCCCAAAGAGTAACTTCTCCAAGTGCATGCAGGGGGTGGTATAAAGTGTAGTACTAAGTCAGCTGTCCTTGGTTGGCTTGACAGACTCTGGAAGAGTCACCGGAAGCTTGTCCTGCTTCCTAGCGCACAAGGAGTACTTTCTTGAAATGTGGCTTCACGCTGATGCACACTATGTCTCTATGTTTTATTACGGAGTAGTCTGGGCAAGAATGCAGAAAAACAAGTTGGTTAGAATGCTGAGGTGATCGACTGCACCCCTTCTGGCTGCACATGGGAGAGGCCCATTGTCTAATGCTCCCTGTCTTTGCAACCCTGCAGATAGCAAGCCAGCACAGCAAGCAAAGGAACAGGCCTATCTTTCCCGATGAACTAGTTTTCTCTCTTCATAAGCATTTCCTGCACTTTAAACAGAGGGAGACGTTCAGAAATGGCAAGACCACTTGCAGCAAAGTAGTGCCACCCTGTCCGCTTCCTGAACGTTCTTGCCAGCTCATTCTCACGTGTTGTTTCAGGCAGGTTTCAGCCATTAGGACGGAGAGAAAGGAGAACAGAGTTAGATGAGGTGAAAGAGAGGGGGCAACATGTTTTCCTTCGGCTGTTGTTAGACTATAGGTCCCAGCACCAGATGATCCAGCGGTTAGGGCTGATGGGAGCTGTAGTCCAATAATTTCTGGAAATTTCAACACTTGTCCACGCCTGACGTACAAAGGCTGTTTCCACTCTGTTGTTCTAAAGTCAAAAGGATGCGACTGAGAGGCCAGTCTTTCAGTTTGAAGTCAGGTCTGTTTTCTACAAAAAGGATGCGATTTCAGTTTGAAGTCAGGTCTGTTTTCTACAGTTAGCATCCCTTCCCCATTTATGCAGATCACGTTTGTTTGTTTTATATTCTGCCCCATAGAGGAGAAAAAAAATACTCTGGGCAATTTATAAATTAAAACTCAGACCCTTTTGCATAGTTTAATTTGCGTTATTAAAATAGATTACTTTCATCCTTGTGGTTCATTGTATCTTTCCATATTCACCCTCTGCGCTTATCAAAGAATCATAAAATTTTGGAGTTGGAGGGGGCCTATAAGGCTATCAAATCCAACCCCCCTGCTCAATGCAGGAATCCAAATCAAAGCCGATCTGACAGATGGTTATTGTATTTTCTCCTGGATGCCTCTAGGGTTGGAACACTCACCACCTCTGGAGATAATTGGTTCCATTGTCATACTACTCTAACAGTTAAGAAGTTTGTCCTGATAGTCAGCTGAAATCTGGCTTCCCATTATTACATGCCCTGCACTGTTGATCCTGCCCCTCCTCTGTATGGCTACCTTTCAAGTATTTGAAAAGTGCTATCCTCTCAGTTTTCTTTTAATGCTAAACATAGTTCTTTCAGTCTTTCATATGGCTTGGTTTCCAATCCCCAGATTATCCTTGTTGCCCTTCTTTTAACTTGTTCCAGTTTGTTGGCATCCTTCTTCAAGTGTGATGTCCAAAACAGGATTCAATACTCTAAATGAGGCCTAACCAGTGCCAAAAAAAGGGAAGACTAGTACCTTAGGATTTGGAGACTATCCTTCGGTTGTTTCTCCCATTATTCTAGGTACTTGTGTTTTTCTTGTTGCATGTAATATGCTAGTGGAGAAATGTGTTCCTGCAGATGTTGTTGGACTAAAACTCCCATCAGTTCCAGTCTCACCAATGGTAAGGCATACTGCAGTCCGATAATATCTCAAGAGCCTCAGGTGACCCACACTAATTTAAAGCATACACCTACATCAGTACTAATGTGTACTAGTCCTACTTGTTTTGACTCCTTGAGTTTATGTTTACATAAATAGGAAAGTACCTCTTTGTACCATTTTGTCAATATATGGAACATCCCATATATCCCTTTGCTATTGATGCATACTTTTAATTAGCTGCCACTCAAAAACTTCTAAAAGTTGTGTTTTCCAAATCGCAATGTACTTAGAAGAAGACATAGATTTCAATAGTCACAATCACAAACCTTTTTGAGCTAGAAATGCTCATATATCAGTTTTCTTTCTTGCAGGTGACAGCATTCCTTCAGTGCCCAATGGAGGGGGTTGTACTTGAAACCTATGGCAGTGGGAATGCCCCCAATAATCGTCCCGATTTGCTAGAGGCACTGAAAAAAGCAACTGACCGCGGTGTGGTGATTCTGAATTGCACCCAGTGCTTGCGAGGAGCTGTGTCTGTGGTTTATGCCACAGGAAAGGTGAGAGGAATTCTGTCGCATTCACTTAGCCATATGGTTGCACTTCGGGGTCATGCTGATCATGCCAATATTTGGTTTGAGAAAGAATTTTCATCTGGGCTAGAATTAATTCATGTGAAAGCTTTCATTGGTTTTTTTTGTTTGTTTTTGCAGGGGTGAGGGACTGCCATTTGTGTAACTTGATGTAGCAGTTCTCTTGCTTGTGTTGTGTTCCCGATTGAGTTGTGCAGAACACTCTTTGCTAATTGATGGCTTGGCTTTGCATAAGGAAGTTAGAGGAGATGGCCTTTGGACCTCCAATTTGGGCGGCTTAAAGCAGAGGTGGAAATCATTCCACCTGCATACTGCATGTGCCCCCCCCCCAAAAGTTCTTCTTGTGGCCACCTTCCAATATAAATATTTCCAAACTGAATATGAATGTACTTTGAATTTTTTCCCCCAAAGTCCTTCTTGTGGCCTCTGTAAATAGAGTAGAACTGCCTAGAGTAAATGTTTCCCACTTAGACCTTTTCCATAAAAAATGAAAGACAGGTGCCTCCTCCTGCATGCAATTTTTCTCTTAAACAAAGTTTGCCCACCACTTTTTTTCAAGCAAAGCTGTTTTAAAAATATTTTTACCACAATGTTGCAGCCACTGACTAGAGTGACCTTGGTGACACAAAAATGGCCCCTGGCCCTCATCCAATGAGGTTTTTTGAGTTCTTCACAGTCCCAAATCTACAGACACCTAAATGTGGCTCAGCTGGAGAAAGGCCTAACTGGAAGGCTTCATGACCTGAGGCGGTGGCCGAGCTTCCTGTTAAAAAAGGAAGTTTAAAAAAATCCAAATGGCACATCCCAACTGCCGGCCTTTAGTTTAAAGATTTCGAAGAAGTTAGTCTTTTTCATGTTGGCAGAAAGAGGGAGGGGAAAATATCATGGCATATTAAGGACTAACAGATTTGCTTTCATGTGAACGTTCTTGGTTCAGAATCTGCTTCCTCAGGAAGTATCTGAGGAACTGGATGATAATCCACAAAAGCACACATGTAAACACATTTTTATTTATTTATTTATTTATTTACAGAAAGAGGGAAAATATCATGGCATATTAAGGACTAACAGATTTGCTTTCATGTGAACGTTCTTGGTTCAGAATCTGCTTCCTCAGGAAGTATCTGAGGAACTGGATGATAATCCACAACACAAAACATGTAAACACATTTTTATTTATTTATTTATTTATTTATTTATTTATTTATTTATTTATTTATTTATTTATTTATTTATTTATTTATTTATTTATTTATTTCCTACCCATCTGGTTTATTCTACCACTCTGGGCGGCTAACAGCAAACATATATACAATTAAAATAATATAAATCCATTGACATCATTAGTAAGAGAACATTCCATTATTTATTTATTATTATTAGTCTTTCATGGTATGTTGTCCTTCCCCATTCTCTTGTTTTTCTTTGCCAACGCGATTTAAAGATGTTGTTTATTACTCTCTTTGTTATTTTCATGTATATGCATTCTCCTCTTTGGAGATATGCAGAACAGTATATAAATCCAAGATTGGGGGGGGCGCGACAGCTATTTAGGATATCCTGTCCGAGGAAAGCCCTCTCCATCTCCATCTCTACCTCTTACCTGCTTCAGATGTTTATAGAGCGGTCATGAATGGCAGCCCCAAAGGTCAAAGTACAAATTGGCAGGTGTTGCAAGAGACACTGATGTGAAAGTTCAAATTACTCTTTTTTCCCAACTTTTTTGTGGTTTTAGGCATACTTTTCCTTCAACCTCTGCCTCCCCTGCCTCCGCCTCCTGAGCAATATGGGGATAATTATAGTGATCTCTTTACAGGGTTGTTCTAACATTTCTTTCATTTCTTTAAATAATTCTTTACCACCTTCCAATATAAATATTTCGAAACTGAATATGAATGTACTTTGAATTTTTGAAAATGCTATTGAAATGCTATTATTAAGTTACAATTGGCACTGAAGGTGAACAATTTCTACTAATTCATCTCTCTGTGATATATAGCAAGTGCCTTTGAGTCTTGTTTGATTATTCCTCTCTCTTTCTTCCAGTCACCTTCACCTGTACATGCATTGTAGGCCACTGATGGTTACACATGTACCATCTATTGTGGTTGCTTTTGATAGCATCACACAACATATGTTTTGGAATGCTTGTTGAATAGATCCTCTGTTTCTCACTTGCTGAGATTCCAAACATATTGTAAGGGAAAGTCCCTTTTAGATAACAGAGACGTGGGAACCATTGATTGAGAAAATGTGTTTCCCTATGAGCATGAAAAGACACAATGCTTATTACATTCACATCTTGTCGTTTTGATTAATTCCAGCTCCTTATGGTGAACTTGCTAAGTATCGTGATCGATCTCTTATATATGAACTGAATAGTAATGTTGTTTTTTCTCCACTTTCATTGTCATTAAAACATCTGCATGTGGTTATGGTAGCATTACACACAGTCAAACATATGCATCTATATCTGATGATTGCATCATTTCAGAAACACTTGAACGTGATTTGGAGATCTTTGTGTGCTATAACTACAGTAGATATGTGGACCACCTTGTAGCAATGTATAGTATGAGGTAATAGATCGGAGGTTTTTAATCCGAAGATGGCCAGGAAACCGTGACAATTGCCATTATAAATTGCATAACATAGTCTGGATAGATTCAGCCAGAGACTATGGTGTTGAGAAAGAATAAAAAAATATTTCTTTTTTACTGACAAAATCTTCATATATGTCAGAAAAACAAACAAAACAGATTGTTACATAGTTTAAGATCTTAACCAGTTAACTTCATTATTTTGATTAATTGACTGCTTACATAAATACTTCACTCAGATTTAACTGCTGACTCCATAACTAACATTCTCTGATTGATAGAATCCCGGCATTGCTAACAGATACAGAACCTTAACTGAGTAAAAAGGCAGGAAAAAGAACCTGAGGTAGACGAGGGAATAATCGGCTGCTATGATGTAATTGACGTTCACCCATTAGTGCTTCCAACTCTTGAAGGCATAATATGCAGGTTGCTAAAATCCAACCAATATAAGAACCTGTTACCATATTTTTCCGTGTAAAAGACACTACTTTTTCCTAAAATCATTACATACACTAAAAATTGAGGGGTGTCTTTTACATGGAAGTAAGCTGAGAGAACGAAACACTCCATGCCTTGCCTCTGTAAACAGGCTTCCGTCAGTCACAAGGCTTAGCTTCCTACAGTCAGGAGGCTTAGCGTCCTCCAATCACCAACCTTATGGAATGGACGTCAGCTGATCCTGAACAAACCAATTGGAACACACCTCGTTGGGGGTGGAGCCTGCAGGCAGTGCTCAGATTCAACAGGGACTCTTAATGTCTGACCGTTTTGAGCCCAGAGGCTGAATACTCAAAGCTAAGTTTTCTTTATACAATTAAAATAATATAAATCCATTGACATCATTAGTAAGAGAACATTCCATTATTTATTTATTATTATTAGTCTTTCATGGTATGTTGTCCTTCCCCATTCTCTTGTTTTTCTTTGCCAACGCGATTTAAAGATGTTGTTTATTACTCTCTTTGTTATTTTCATGTATATGCATTCTCCTCTTTGGAGATATGCAGAACAGTATATAAATCCAAGATTGGGGGGGGCGCGACAGCTATTTAGGATATCCTGTCCGAGGAAAGCCCTCTCCATCTCCATCTCTACCTCTTACCTGCTTCAGATGTTTATAGAGCGGTCATGAATGGCAGCCCCAAAGGTCAAAGTACAAATTGGCAGGTGTTGCAAGAGACACTGATGTGAAAGTTCAAATTACTCTTTTTTCCCAACTTTTTTGTGGTTTTAGGCATACTTTTCCTTCAACCTCTGCCTCCCCTGCCTCCGCCTCCTGAGCAATATGGGGATAATTATAGTGATCTCTTTACAGGGTTGTTCTAACATTTCTTTCATTTCTTTAAATAATTCTTTACCACCTTCCAATATAAATATTTCGAAACTGAATATGAATGTACTTTGAATTTTTGAAAATGCTATTGAAATGCTATTATTAAGTTACAATTGGCACTGAAGGTGAACAATTTCTACTAATTCATCTCTCTGTGATATATAGCAAGTGCCTTTGAGTCTTGTTTGATTATTGCTTTCTCTTTCTTCCAGTCACCTTCACCTGTACATGCATCGTAGGCCACTGATGGTTACACATATACATCTATTGTGGTTGCTTTTGATAGCATCGCACAACATATGTTTTGGAATGCTTGTTGAATAGATCCTCTGTTTCTCACTTGCTGAGATTCCAAACATATTGTAAGGGAAAGTCCCTTTTAGATAACAGAGACGTGGGAACCATTGATTGAGAAAATGTGTTTCCCTATGAGCATGAAAAGACACAATGCTTATTACATTCACATCTTGTCGTTTTGATTAATTCCAGCTCCTTATGGTGAACTTGCTAAGTATCGTGATCGATCTCTTATATATGAACTGAATAGTAATGTTGTTTTTTCTCCACTTTCATTGTCATTAAAACATCTGCATGTGGTTATGGTAGCATTACACACAGTCAAACATATGCATCTATATCTGATGATTGCATCATTTCAGAAACACTTGAACGTGATTTGGAGATCTTTGTGTGCTATAACTACAGTAGATATGTGGACCACCTTGTAGCAATGTATAGTATGAGGTAATAGATCGGAGGTTTTTAATCCGAAGATGGCCAGGAAACCGTGACAATTGCCATTATAAATTTATTTTACTAAAAGTTCATGCTGGTGGGATGCATTTTTGATTAGGTGTCCCTAAAATACTGAATGTGGATGATGGAATTAAGTGCAACCTTTATATTATTAGAAAAGAGAGGAATTGTTTTTAAATACAGTACTAAATGTTACAGTTGGCTACGTAAGTTCTTTTTAATGCTGTTTTTCTTGCTGTGTCCTATTTTCTCACAAAGTTGACAACATTGTTGATAAAACTGCCCCCCCCAATCTCCTAATTCTAAATTAGGGTTGTAGGTTCATTATGTCAAGTTAATCTTTCTGTCAGGAATAAGGCTAGACCTGTTATTCCCCTTTACTGTTTAATTAAAAGGCCTAGTATTAGTAGTATGCACATTTCTGTTCATTGCTTCTTTACAGAATAATGTTGAGTTACTTGGTTTGTTTCTTAATTTGTTTGGCTTTTATTATAAATGTTCTGGTTCAGAGGTTTGCTTGAAGAAGACTGTTAAAATCCACCATTGTAATACTAAAAAAAGAGTGAATGTAAGAAATACCAACAGAATTATCTTCAATACAGCATGAAGTTGTGTGAAACTAGCTCATGGGAATATTCTGCAGGATCAGGTGCCAACAAGTTGATCTAATCTCATTTGTATACTTTGAAGATGACAGGTTCAGTGGCTTCCTCTCAAGATGCCATAGGATGACTGTAACAGCTCTAGAAATTCAGTGACATAATGGAGTATCTCTTTTATAAACATGGATAAAACATAATCAGGAACATGGCACATGTACAGTATTACATGGCAACAAATCTAGTCTTGCTGCTGTAGATCCTAGATTTCTGTATGGTGCACATTTGTCACATTCACACAGTATTTGTAAGTACGTTTTTGTTGTCAGATGTGTTATGTTTATAAGAGCAGATTACAAGTCTCCCTCAAATATGCCACTTCTTCTTATTCGGTTAGTTTTAGTTAGATTTACCTCAACTGGCATAACATAGTCTGGATAGATTCAGCCAGAGACTGTGGTGTTGAGAAAGAATAAAAAAAATATTTCTCTTTTACTGACAAAATCTTCATATATGTCAGAAAAACAAACAAAACAGATTGTTACATAGTTTAAGATCTTAACCAGTTAACTTCATTATTTTGATTAATTGACTGCTTACATAAATACTTCACTCAGATTTAACTGCTGACTCCATAACTAACATTCTCTGATTGATAGAATCCCGGCATTGCTAACAGATACAAAACCTTAACTGAGTAAAAAGGCAGGAAAAAGAACCTGAGGTAGACGAGGGAATAATTGGTTGCTATGATGTAATTGACGTTCACCCATTAGTGCTTCCAACTCTTGAAGGCATAATATGCAGGTTGCTAAAATCCAACCAATATAAGAACCTGTTACCATATTTTTCCGTGTAAAAGACACTACTTTTTCCTAAAATCATTACATACACTAAAAATTGAGGGGTGTCTTTTACATGGAAGTAAGCTGAGAGAACAAAACAGTCCGTGCCTTGCCTCTGTAAACAGGCTTCCTTCAGTCACGAGGCTTAGTTTCCTACAGTCAGGAGGCTTAGCGTCCTCCAATCACCAGCCTTATGGAATGGACGTCAGCTGATCCTGAACAAACCAATTGGAACACACCTCGTTGGGGGTGAAGCCTGCAGGCAGTGCTCAGATTCAACAGGGACTCTTAATGTCTGACCGTTTTGAGCCCAGAGGCTGAATACTCAAAGCTAAGTTTTCTTGATCTTGAGGTTAGATAAATGGGGAAAGTCTTATAAACGGGGCATGTTATTAATGGAAAAGTATGGTAATCTTTAAGGCACCACAATACTCTTTTGTTGCTTGCCTGTGGTGTGAAACATATTGTCCTACAGCCTCCTTCTTCTGACATAATAAAGCATCTCTCTTACAGATGTGAATAGCACATGAGAGGCAGCCATGTGACTTATAGCATAAACCAGCACTTGAAACCACATGATATTCATCCTCCACTATATCATGAGGCCACAGCTTCATGCGTATAAAAATAACTAATAAGTACCATTATGCCACAAAAAAGAATGAAGTTATTCTGTGTTACAATGCAGTCATAATGTAACTTTGTTTGTTGTCATGTGCTGTCAAGTCAGAACTGACTTACAGCAATCTTAACAGGGCTGTTAAGATAAGTGAGATATTTAAGGAATGGTTTTTACCAGTTAAATTCCCCCAGTGAGCTTCCATGGCTGAGCCAGGATTCAAACCCAGGTTTCCTGAGTTCTAGTCCATCACTCTATCCTTATGCCTTAGTTATTTTTAAAAATTATCAGTACCAAGTTACGTGCAAGAAGTTGATTCCAAGCTCTACGGGCGAAGAATGCATAGAAGTAACTATAATTCCCCCATTCTGTGACTTCAGAAAGCAAACCACGCCCAGCAGAAGTCAGTGAGACTGCTCTTGTACCTTTTAAGGAATAATGATAAACTGGAAAAATAAATTAAATACATAAACTCCAACTCTGTGATCAAATTAGTATCAATAATCAGAAACAAAATGCTTAATTACTCACTATGGCAACATTGCCTAATCAAATGAACAATAAGATTAAATTTTCTTGTCTCCAGTGTGCATGAAGTGTAAAGCAATGTACAAATCTCATCTGCAATTTTCTTCATTGAATACAGACCCTTATGGACGCAGGTGTAATTCCAGGGGCAGATATGACACCAGAAGCCGCCCTTACCAAGCTGTCCTATGTTTTGAGCAAACCCGGACTTACCTTAGCTGAGAAGAGAAAGGTAAAATTCCCTTGTCATCTAATTCTTAAAAGTCCAGACCTCTCTCCCCTCCACTCCAAATTATGGTTTTACAAAGTGTCCTCTTAATTTTTTTTTAAAATAACTGAATACCTTTTTAAGCCACTCGGTATCTGGCACTCTGCAATCTGTACAGTGTCCTTTCTTTGGTATATATCAGAGGTGACACATTTTGCTGCCTGAGACAAAGGACATCGATCTCTTATATATGAACTGAATAGTAATGTTGTTTTTTCTCCACTTTCATTGTCATTAAAACATCTGCATGTGGTTATGGTAGCATTACACACAGTCAAACATATGCATCTATATCTGATGATTGCATCATTTCAGAAACACTTGAACGTGATTTGGAGATCTTTGTGTGCTATAACTACAGTAGATATGTGGACCACCTTGTAGCAATGTATAGTATGAGGTAATAGATCGGAGGTTTTTAATCCGAAGATGGCCAGGAAACCGTGACAATTGCCATTATAAATTTATTTTACTAAAAGTTCATGCTGGTGGGATGCATTTTTGATTAGGTGTCCCTAAAATACTGAATGTGGATGATGGAATTAAGTGCAACCTTTATATTATTAGAAAAGAGAGGAATTGTTTTTAAATACAGTACTAAATGTTACAGTTGGCTACGTAAGTTCTTTTTAATGCTGTTTTTCTTGCTGTGTCCTATTTTCTCACAAAGTTGACAACATTGTTGATAAAACTGCCCCCCCCAATCTCCTAATTCTAAATTAGGGTTGTAGGTTCATTATGTCAAGTTAATCTTTCTGTCAGGAATAAGGCTAGACCTGTTATTCCCCTTTACTGTTTAATTAAAAGGCCTAGTATTAGTAGTATGCACATTTCTGTTCATTGCTTCTTTACAGAATAATGTTGAGTTACTTGGTTTGTTTCTTAATTTGTTTGGCTTTTATTATAAATGTTCTGGTTCAGAGGTTTGCTTGAAGAAGACTGTTAAAATCCACCATTGTAATACTAAAAAAAGAGTGAATGTAAGAAATACCAACAGAATTATCTTCAATACAGCATGAAGTTGTGTGAAACTAGCTCATGGGAATATTCTGCAGGATCAGGTGCCAACAAGTTGATCTAATCTCATTTGTATACTTTGAAGATGACAGGTTCAGTGGCTTCCTCTCAAGATGCCATAGGATGACTGTAACAGCTCTAGAAATTCAGTGACATAATGGAGTATCTCTTTTATAAACATGGATAAAACATAATCAGGAACATGGCACATGTACAGTATTACATGGCAACAAATCTAGTCTTGCTGCTGTAGATCCTAGATTTCTGTATGGTGCACATTTGTCACATTCACACAGTATTTGTAAGTACGTTTTTGTTGTCAGATGTGTTATGTTTATAAGAGCAGATTACAAGTCTCCCTCAAATATGCCACTTCTTCTTATTCGGTTAGTTTTAGTTAGATTTACCTCAACTGGCATAACATAGTCTGGATAGATTCAGCCAGAGACTGTGGTGTTGAGAAAGAATAAAAAAAATATTTCTCTTTTACTGACAAAATCTTCATATATGTCAGAAAAACAAACAAAACAGATTGTTACATAGTTTAAGATCTTAACCAGTTAACTTCATTATTTTGATTAATTGACTGCTTACATAAATACTTCACTCAGATTTAACTGCTGACTCCATAACTAACATTCTCTGATTGATAGAATCCCGGCATTGCTAACAGATACAGAACCTTAACTGAGTAAAAAGGCAGGAAAAAGAACCTGAGGTAGACGAGGGAATAATTGGTTGCTATGATGTAATTGACGTTCACCCATTAGTGCTTCCAACTCTTGAACGGTCAGCTTTCTTTATGGTCCAGCTCTCACTTCCATACATCACTACAGGAAAAACGATAGCTTTGACTATTCAGACTTTTGTTGGCAAGGTGATATCTCTGCTTTATAAGACTGTACTGTAGGACCCCTATATCCACAGGGGATCTGTTTCACTATTTACTGTGAATGCCTGAAACCACAGATAACAGCAAATCATGTATACAACCTACTAGGAGGCAGAGAAAAGGCCACAAGGGTGCATGACAAAAGCTATAAGGCCCACCCCCTTTTATGTTGAATATAGGACTGCAGTAAACTGCAGACAATGGAAACTATGGATACCGATACCATGGATATGGGGATCCTATTGTATATAGGGGAAAAAGTTTCCTGTCACACAGCAGCTCACTTCATCTGCGAAGGGCACTGCTGAATGCTTTTCAGGAAAAGAGACAAATACTTTAGCAAGCTTTTTTTTAAAAAAGTATAAAACCACAGTGTGCTGTCCCATCTCGTCTTGTTTTAAAATCTGAACAACCAGGGGAAAAAAGATTGTTAAAGGAAAACAAACATGAGTTTGTTTTCCTTTAAAAAGAATGCCTTACTAAACAACAACGACAGCAAGAACAAACAATATAAGGTTCATTTGAAAACAGATGAGTTTAAAACAGAAGAGTTAAAGAAGCGTCTCATGTCTTTGGCGGAGTGATGAGGCCAGAGTCAAAGATTAAAAATGTGTCTAAACAGAAATAGGCCCCATTGAGTTCATTCAGACCAGTTCCACTCATGCAAGTGAGTTTACATGGCTGAGCAGGGATTCAAACCCAGGTTTCCTGAGTTCTAGTCCATCACTCTATCCTTATGCCTTAGTTATTTTTAAAAATTATCAGTACCAAGTTACGTGCAAGAAGTTGATTCCAAGCTCTACGGGTGAAGAATGCATAGAAGTAACTATAATTCCCCCATTCTGTGACTTCAGAAAGCAAACCACGCCCAGCAGAAGTCAGTGAGACTGCTCTTGTACCTTTTAAGGAATAATGATAAACTGGAAAAATAAATTAAATACATAAACTCCAACTCTGTGATCAAATTAGTATCAATAATCAGAAACAAAATGCTTAATTACTCACTATGGCAACATTGCCTAATCAAATGAACAATAAGATTAAATTTTCTTGTCTCCAGTGTGCATGAAGTGTAAAGCAATGTACAAAACTCAGCTGCAATTTTCTTCCTTGAATACAGACCCTTATGGATGCAGGTGTAATTCCAGGGGCAGATATGACACCAGAAGCCGCCCTTACCAAGCTGTCCTATGTTTTGAGCAAACCCGGACTTACCTTAGCTGAGAAGAGAAAGGTAAAATTCCCTTGTCATCTAATTCTTAAAAGTCCAGACCTCTCTCCCCTCCACTCCAAATTATGGTTTTACAAAGTGTCCTCTTAATTTTTTTTTAAAAAAACTCAATACCTTTTTAAGCCACTTGGTATCTGGCACTCTGCAATCTGTACAGTGTCCTTTCTTTGGTATATATCAGAGGTGACACATTTTGCTGCCTGAGACAAAGGACAAGATGACACACCACTGTTCTGTAAATGAACAAAAGATGATTAGCCTGGCAGGTGAATCCTACTTTATGACTAATAGTGGAGTAGCATCTTCTACTAGAACTAACAAGCTAGTTTACTGAGTTCATTGTTCTGTCTTCCATCACAAGGGAAAAAGTGGAGAGTTCATTATAACAACTGAGAGGCTGCTCTTGCTGACCCCTACCATCTACTGTCTGAAAAAGTGACCTTTTTCTCTGTCTGGTGAATTGCTACATACAGACCAGGCCTGGAACAGATCCTGGAAAGCTGTCCTGTAGAAGGAATTCTCAATATATAAAGTTATATATATATTAGAAACATCACTTAATAGTTGTTGTGGGTTTTTCGGGCTCCCCGGCCGTGAAAGCCTTCGCGAATACATAACTTAATAGCTTTACTTGTTGTTGATTTTTTTCCTGTTATTTGCTTTGTTTATTCTATGATTCCTTTGTGGGGAACAGCCTAAAACAGTAAGAAAATGGGCTAAAATTTGCAAAACAAATTTGCTCAAAACACTCCCCCCCCCCAAAATTTTGTTTTTGTTTTAGCCAAAATAGAAATAACACGTAAACTGTACTTGTTGCAAATAAAAATCCAGTTGCTAGTCCAAGTTAGAGTAAACCCACTGAAACCCAACACTAATTCATTGGGTCTAATTTAAGTAGGATCAGCAAATGGATTTTGGTCTGTGACTTTACTGGTTATTAAATTATTTTGCAGAAGAGAGGGTATCATGCCCTCACTACCCCCAAAAGTAATGGTGAAGTATTTATTTATAAAATATGACTTCCAGGTTCTGGGCTGGAGCCAACAGAATTCTGTCTAAGTAACCCGGCTCTAAATTTGATAAGAAATTGACTGTACTTTTATCACATTGTGAGTCTAGAGTTCTCTGCTGATTTTTCTGCTGCATTTAAGGATGAACTTTTCCGTGCCATGTTCTCACTGGGGAAAGGAGGAAGCCTCAGACACTCCCAGTTTCATGCTTTGTTACATAGCCAATAGTGGAGGAAGCAGAAATTATTTTGTTTTACGTTGGTGTTATGTGCAATCAAGTTGCCACCAACTTATGGCAGCCCTATGAATGAGCAATGTCCAAAATGCCTCGTCCTCAACAGCCCTGCTCAGTTCTTATAGACTCAAACTGCAGCTTCCTTTGGGGTGTCAGTCCATCTCATATTGGGTCTTTCTCTTTCCTGCTGCCTTCTACCTTTCCCAGTATTATTGTCTTTTCCTTCTCATGATGTGGCCAAAGTAGGATAGCATCAGTTTTTTTTTGCCTCCAGAGATAGTTCAGGCTTAATTTGATGTAGGACACAATTTTCCCTCTTTCTGGCAGTCCATGCTATCCACAAAGCTCCCCTCCAGCAACATAGAATGAATCAATTTTTTGTATTCTCGAAAGCTTTCATGGCCGGGATCTGATGGTTGTTGTGGATTTTTTCGGGCTCTTTGGCCATGTTCTGAACACGGCCAAAGAGCCCAAAAACCCCACAACAACAATCAATTGCCAGTTTTCTTTACCGTGTAGTTTTCACACCCATACATGGTGATTGGAAATACAAGGGTATGGATGACCTTGGGCAAGGTCTCCAATGACACATCCTTCAACATTCCATTTTACACATACTTTTATACTCTTGTTTACTGCATTACCCTATTAACACCAGCAGTCATTCTTCCTGGAGGATTCTAGGGACTGGAATCCTAAAACACAACTTAATCAAGCTGTGCACTTTCTACAGATGGAATTACCTTAGAACTGCAGAGCTGGAAGGGACCCTATGGGTCATTGAGTCCAGCTCCTGTCCAAGAGGCACAAGTGGGGACACCTAGATGCAGTGTCAGGCTTACATTCCATTACTCATAACTTACTTATTTATAACTTCTTCCCTTTTTAGATGCTGAGTGAGAATCTGAGAGGAGAGATGACTGTTCTTCCCATCAGAACCCCCATCACCCTCAAAGATAGCAGGTTTATTCAAGAGATTACAAAATACCTGTTAATCAGCTGCAAGGAGGTACTTGTTCAAATGCGACTTGTTTTTGCAGAAAGCCCATTGCAAAAGATAAAGAGTTGCATCCAGCTGTGTTTGTCTGCCGGCAGAATAGGTGCTGCTGGTGAAACTGATTCTCTGCAGACACCTGCATGATGCCCAAAGTTGCTCCAGAGCGCTAGAGGCTGCGAAGGGAAGTTAAAAAAAAACGAAACCGCAATGCATGAAAGCGGTCTACTGTCAGGACTTTGGATGTAATCCAGATTTTAAAGTAGCAAAAAGGAGAGGTGAAAATACAGTACCTGGCGTGTCTGTGTCATTTTTGTATGTGAATCCATAAGGACAAAATGGGGTTTTGCTACTTCTATTAGCAATTTCAAACTAATTCATGTATTTTATGTACTGTTTTTTTAAAAGAACACTATCAGACCACTCAATAAAATGTACAATATTGTCTAAATAAATACATCTGAACATTGCCATAATAATACAAATACAGAATTGGAAAGCTGCAGAACAAGCATCCCAAATAATTAAAGTGTGCTGCTTATATACCGCCTCATAGTGTTTAAAACACTCTCTGGGCTGTTTACAATTCAATTTTGCAGATTGCCCCCCCCCCCCCGAAGCTATATACTCAATTTGCCTTCCTTAGAAGGATGGAAAGATGAATCAACCTCAGTCTGGCTACCCAAACCTGTTGGGATCAAACTCCAATCATGAGCAGAGTCTTGACTGTAGTACTGCAGTTTATCCACTTCACCATGAGGCTCCTTCACATAATTCATGCAAGTCAATCAGAAAGCAGGATTGAAAAGAAGACTGGGAAACATACATATATAGAAATATTTGGAAGTTGAATCATGGCAACTAGACTTCTTTCTTATTAGGCGGAAACGTTTCACTACTCATCCAAATAGCTTCTTCAGTCTGAGGAGAGTCGATAGGAGACCCCTGATAGATCCTCCACGTTGGTTTCACTTCCCCTTGGTCTGAATGACTGAGAATATTCACAAATACATAGATACAGTTTTATTTTTTACCGCTGAACTTTTGTTTCTCTACCTTTTCAGGAACTCGCAGCTGTTAGAGATGCCTTGACTCCTCTTTTGGCTTGTGTGGCAGCCAAAAATGGCGATTTGGATGCCCTTGAAGCTTTGCAGAGTATGGTAAGCTGATTAGAAAGAATCCAGAAGGGACAGCCAGTTAGACAGCTCCAAATCACTGCTAACTTTAGTATTTTAGCCAAACAGCTCAATCATCATTGTTGTCCCAGATCATCATCATCATCATCATCATCATCATCATCATCATCATCATCATGGAGCTCAATCATCATTATTGTCCCAGATCATTATCATTATCATCATCATCATCATCGTTGTTGTTGTTGTTGTTGTTGTTGTTGTTATTATTATTATTATTATTATTAATTTCCTTGTGTGACCTAATGACCTCCACTCTGTCTTAAGACTATTAAAACTGCACACTGAAGACTTTTTGCCTCATTCTTCCTTACCCTCCAATGGACATGTTTTCCTTGGGAAAAAAAGTTCTGTTGAATCCAAAAACTTCCTCACCACTTTGTGATGCTGTTGTTTGTCTTCATAAAGTCATGACCCTCCTGTTCCTTTTTTAATTTCACCTGGGATTCTCGTTATCAGAAATTGTGTTAATTGATAAAGACATCTCTGCCATGGAAGGCATAGCATTGAGGAGAGCAGGATCATGGGCTTTTGACTGTCACTTATTAGTAATGCATAAGCAAAATTAGGTGGAAGCGTTTTCTTTCAACAAAATCCTTCTTCCAACAGAAGGTAGTCCTAGATCCAGTCTATGTATATTGAGCTTTGGAGGTATGCAATTCACTCATGAGTAGAGATGGGGGTATTTGCATATGAATATCCCTGCACAGCTGTACGTAATGAGGGTTCATGTGTCCACTGCTGCCGCCACTCTCCCTTCCAATTGCTCTGGAGCTCATGGTTGGCTATCTGCTCGTCAGCCTGGCAGGAAGACTTGTCTTCCCTCCTTCTGCCAGGAGTGGATAGTCAAATGTGAGCTCTGGAGCGATTGGAAGGGAGAGCAGAGCAAGCGGCAGCAATGGACAGTTGCATGAGTGGATCCTCATGATGTCCAGCTGTGCGGGGGTACAAATACCCCCATCTCTACTCATAACCGCTCTTCCACATATCCGTATCAGGCCTAATAAGGATGGAGTGTTTCTGACTGATCATTTTTACGTGTTTGAACTGCCCAAAAAGCAGCATCAGGGGAGTGTTATCCATTAATCTTAGACATCATTTTTTTTAAAAAAATACGGGGCTGCAGGAAGTGCTCCTTTAGCTGTACAGGGCCCAGGTTTCAATAAACTGTAAACTGATATGGCCAGGTTAGATCAGATTAGATTAGGCCTCCTTCAGTCTCGAGATACGAGGGTCACGTGCTCTGAATAGAGGACTTGGAACAGCGTCTAGTGTGGCTGAGAAGGCCAATTTGAGAGTGACCATCCCTTCCACACTGATCAGTGGTCACGTTAATCAAGCTTTTATTAGATGTTTGAATAAAAAATGCTTCTTTTCAACAAACCATCCTAGGGTGGAAATCTGAGCGCTGGAGATTATGATGGTCGCACTCCTCTAAAAAATGCTTCTTTTCAACAAACCATCCTAGGGTGGAAATCTGAGCGCTGGAGATTATGATGGTCGCACTCCTCTTCACGCTGCATGCTCCGAGGGCCGTCTGGACAGTGGTCAGGTTAATCAAGCTTTTATTAGATGTTTGAATTTAAAAAAATGCTTCTTTTCAACAAACTCATCCTAGGGTGGAAATCTGAGTGCTGGAGATTATGATGGTCGCACTCCTCTTCACGCTGCATGCTCCGAGGGCCGTCTGGAGGTAGTGAAACATCTATTGGAGTCTGGTGCAACTGTATATGCAAAAGACCGAATGGGAGCAACACCGCTGTTGAACGCTATCAAGTTCAGGTATTTTGCTTTTAAAATACAATTTATATCTAGCTCCTTGGAAGATGAATAAAACTGCTGAACTATCAAAAGGCAGTTCTGTTTTGTATAGTGTCCGGGAGAGATTTTGGCCTGGCTGGGGTTGTGAGCACAAAGCATGAAAAACTTTTGTTGTTGTTGTTCTTTGGCAAGACTTTCTGGTGCAGAACTTCATATAACTCTAGTCCTGGAGATGCATCAGATGTCTGTGAACTATGTACGATATATATACGTGGTGTGTGTGTGTGTGTAAAATATAACATGCAGAAACGGTCTTTTCTGTCACAGTTGAATCAGTTTTTTATTTTTCCTAGAGGAAGACTCCTGACTGTTGTATAATGTAAATATGGTTTACAGTCGTGCCCCACTTAACGATTACCTCGCATTACGACGAATCAGCTTCACGACAATGTTTTTGTGATCGCAATTGCGATCGCAAAACGATGTTTTAAATGTTTTTTTTCGATTTGCGAAGATTGGTTCCTTGCTTTGGGAACCGATTCTTCGCATTACGACAATCAAAACAGCTGATCATCGGGTTTTCAAAATGGCCACTGGGTGCTCAAAATGGCTCCCTGCTGTGCTTAGGGACGGATTCCTCGCTATTAAGGCACTGAAAATGGCTGCCGTATGGAGGATCTTCGCTAGATGGTGAGTTTTTATCCCATTGGAATGCATTAACTGGGTTTTAATGCATTTCAATGGGTTTTTTATTTTCACTTTACGACGTTTTCGCTCTACAGCGATTTTGCTGGAATGAATTAACGTCGTTAAGTGAGGCACCACTGTATTTGACTACAGCTTGCATCAAAACTAAATTTTAATACTTGTTACATTCCTGAAAAGTTGTCTAGACTAGAGCACTGTCCCCGCCATCTGGCATCCTATAGATTTTTTGGGTTACAAGTATCACTGTCCATTTTCATCATGGTAGCTGTGCTGGCTGTGGGTGTTGAGAGCTCTCGTCCAGGTCTAGAAATTGCATGTTGCAGAAGGCTGGTCCAAAGCAGGAGTGGGCAGGTTTTCACTCTCCAGATGCTGTGCTATACCTCCCCGTCATTCCTCACCATGGACCGACTATACTGACTAGAGCTGAGGGAAGTTACAGTCCAACAACCTCTGAAGGAACACAGGTTGTCCATCCCGGTCTTTGGGGTATTAAGAAAATATTCCAGCCATATATAGTAGCACGTGGATTTCTGCTCTTTAGTGTCATGTCCAAACTATTAGCGTTCAAGTTTTTCAAAGACATTCACAGACGTGGAGAAGCATTTGAAGTATTGCAGAAGCCTCTCTGAAAAACTCAAAACCTGGAAGTGACCCATCTCTTCTGATTTTTGTAGCAAACGGTCCATTGCTCATGGTCTATTCTTTCCCATGAGCCCTAACATCTATTTCCCCCTCTCCTCTTACCTCTGTGTTGGTTCAACTGTTGACTTCATTGTCCTCCTCACAGTTCTTCTCACAAAGCTCCAAATGTTGAATACACGCATGCTCACACTCACACACTTTTGTACAAGAGTCTTATTACTAAAAATAAGTATGTGCAGTCACAAAGCTCCAAATGTTGCATACACGCATACTCACACACTTTTGTACAAGAGTCTTATTACTAAAAATAAGTATGTGCACACAGATTTCTTTTAGTATATCAAGACAGTTACTCTATGGAAGAAATTTACAAACATGCTGATAATAGCTCACATTGTAGGCTAGCTAACCTTATCAGTGTTAACTGCACTTGTTGGTTCATCTAATTCCCTTTTCTCCCAATCTACAGGATTCCAATCAAGCAGATCTTTCTTCCTAAGATTTGGGCCTTTTTGGTTATTCTGACTGGGTCTCCACAGCTTTGGATTTGGATTTTGCCCTGTGCATAGATCACTAAGTCACTTGGCAGACAACCTGAATAGTTGCTATGACAGCTGAGGGCCAAATGAGCCTTTCAGCTACAGGCCAGGCAGGCGAGACTCCCTTGAAATTCTCTAAGACACGTTAAACTTGCTGCTGAACGAGGTGGCGCTTCTCCAGCATGCTACTCTGTGAGATGTCCATGCAAGCGGCAATGTGTGTTTTAACCACGCCTAGCGACTGCCTGAGGAATTTCACATGAGTTTGTTCTTCAGATTCTTTTGCTTTACCACTCCCAGGAGAAACTCCTCCTGGGATGCTTGATCTTTTTAAAGCCCCGAAAGGAGAGCTGGAAGAGGAGGAGGAGGAGAATGGAGGGCTGCTTGGGTTCAGCCTTATGCTGTTGTCAGGTTGAGAGGATCAGCTAAATCCTTTGTCAGCTCATAGAGGCTTTAATGATCGCTTCAGGCCTGTTCTGCTAAGAGACTTCACTCTAAGCTTAAGGTGGAATTGGATGATTTAATATAGGCAGAAAGAAATAGATATTACTGCCCCAGGGGCTACACACGAAAAGAACTGAGAACCTCAAGTTCCCTAACTATTAGTGTTTAGAGATATATTATTTGTGGTACCGGAGGGAAAAAGTTATACTTATCCTAACTAGCCACTTATTTCTACTACTCCCATGTTTGTTCCATGCCCTTTTCACACGTTCCAAAACCTGCAGCCATCATCCATTCTGTGGGTGGGTGGAATTCCATAGTTTATCTATTCACTGAAAGCATAGCTGATAGTCAAGGATGATGCTGATTAAAGTTAAAAAAAAATCTGGAGATCACCAAGGCGACCGATGGTTGCTTCCTCCCGAAGCAAGAGTACATTATACAAGCATATCTTGAACATTTCTTTCTGTCTAGTGGAGGATATAGGGCTTACTCTAGAATGTCCTGCTTTATCTTGTGATCTCTAAGATCAAGTACTTGACTAAATGAAATGATCGGATTTTGACTTGGTGTGAATGAATGGATTTATGTATTTCAGAAAAAGCAGGATAGGCAAAATGTACCATAATTGAAGTACCGTATCTGTCACAAAATACAGTGGTGCCTCGCTTAACGAGCGCACCCTTTAACGACGAATCCACATAGCGATCTATTTTTTCAGATCGCTAATGCGATTGCATTGTGATGTTTTCAATGGCAAAACATCGCGTTGCGATGATCGGTAACCGTTTCGCTTACCGATCTTCGCATTGCGATGTTTTTTAAACAGCTGATCGGCGGATCCAAAATGGCCTCCGGACACCCAAAATGGCCACCACAACCATTTTCACGCCATGCCCTCACTTACTGAGGGCGCGAAAATGGCGGTGCTATGGAGGAACTTCGCTGAACGGTGAGTTTGGGGCCCCATAGGAACCCGTTTAGCGATGTTTTTGCATAGCGACGATTAATTCGGAATGGATTAACGTCGCTATGCGGGGCACCACTGTATATAGTAGTATATCGTCAGCATCAAGATGTGTCCAAGAATACGTACAACATGTGCATTATCTGGCTGGTTTCCCACAGTCTTTTATTCTAAAAAAAATCAAGTTGGAAAGATTGGAATAATTAATTATAAATGAGTGATGTTATTTCTTTGTGTACATGTGTTTTGGTGCATATGTTTTAAGGCCATGGAGAGAAGCCATCTCTTGTCCTGACTCTTGGTAGTCGTTGTCCTCTTGCTCTTTCTCATGTGTTATGCAGCCCCTCCAGCTTTTGAAGTGTGCTAGGTATAAAAAGGCTAATTCATTGTTTCCCACAGGAGAACTGAATAGCCAAAAGAATGAAGTCATTCAAGTCTAGGAGGGAGTGACTTCTGCATTTCTTTAAAAGTGGGAAATGCAGTTGTGCCCCTCTCCATTCCTGTAAAACCTCATTCATATTTTTAACCATTGCAAGTGGCCTCATGAAAACCCATTTAAAACATGTGTGGGATGAGAACTGGGGAAAATGACTTTTTTGGATTACAGCTTCCCAGTCCCCCAATTATCTTAAGAGCTGGTCCTGCTCACTGGGAGATTCCAAAATGTTCTGACTTATGGCCAGAATTAAAGGTGTCTCCTGTCAGCATTTGGAACACTTCAGACTGTTCATAGCGCAATAACATATAATGTTACAATTTAGAATATTCCAAGAAGGGTTACAACTCTGCGTAGAGCACATGCTTTACATGTAGATAATTCCTGGTCTAATTTCCATTGCTAACCACTTCTGAGTACTCTTCACCTGGAAAACCCTGAAAAGGGTCACCATAAGTCAGAATTGACATGATGGTACATGATGATGATGATGATGATGATGATGATGATGATGATGATGATGATGATGATGATGATGATGATGATGATTACTCCCTAGTGGATAGAAGCTTAAGAATATGGGTCATGAGCTACATTTGTTTTTCACAGCCCCGTAGCTCTTCCCCCTCCAAAATTGGCTAAACCAGTCAACACCCAAGTTGCTTACACTCTTCTCCAAACGCTTATTGATATAAATGCTAGTGCTGAACAATGGATTAAAAAGTAAATACAGCACTTGCTACCTCCAGAGAGGGAGAAGAATGTCCTTAATGCTGTGCTGTGTGTCCCAAGGAACACTTGTGATGAAATATTTGAGATAATGAGCAAACATGTGAAGCCTATAATTGCAGGAGCAGCTAATAATACATCTCTGCTGATGGAACAAAGGGTTTGAGCAATCTTCTTTCCCCCTCTCTCTCCCGGCAGAAGGGAAATTGCCCGGATAGCAAGACTTAACATATATTTTCTGCTGATTAAAAGAAGCAAAACAATGACAAACAGACAAACAAAAACTTTATGAAAAGTCTTGTTCTTAATATGCGGTAATGTTCTGTCTTAATCCTATCTTCCAGTCTGTATGTCAAAAAATACACCATCCACCTAGTTTGGAAATGCTTCCACCTGCAGCTTTTCCCCTCTGTGCCTAGCTACAAAGTTGGGAAGCTAGCTTATGCACTCATGTTCATTCTCTCATTTCCTTCCCCTATATGTAGGAAGGAAAAGCTGAGCTGAAATTAGATGCCATCAGCTATCACACTGACAACAGATTGGCACAGTGGGAGGCAACTTGGGACTGAAATATATACAGTGGTGCCTTCCTTTATGATTGCCCCGCATTATGACGAATCTGCTTTACGATGATCTTTTTGCGATCGCAATTGCGATCGCAAAACAATGGTCTAAATGGGGGAATATTGCTTTGCAATGATCGGTTCCCTGCTTCGGGAACCGATTCTTCGCAAAACGATGTTTTTTAAACAGCTGATTGGCAGTTTCAATATGGCCACCAGGTAATTAAAATGGCTCCCTGCTGTGTTTAGGGACGGATTCCTTGCTATACAGGCAGCGAAAACGGCCGCTGTATGGAGGATCTTCGCTGGACGGTGGGTTTTTACCCCATTGGAACGCATTGAACGGGTTTCAATGCATTTAAGTGGGGTTTTTATTTTTGCTTTACGATGTTTTCACTTAACAGCGATTTTCCTGGAACAGATTATCGTCGTTAAGCGAGGCACCACTGTATTGAGTTGACCACAGACTCATTTAGAACATGTGTGAATTTGGCTTGATATCTAGACATTGACACAAATGCTTCCTGTGTTATGTTCTTCATCACAAGTGATTTAGAGGTGTTCCTCTATCAGGTAAAAAAAAAAATCAGTGCAGGAAGTGGCTCTCTGACCCATTTTATCTAAGGGACGTTCCTGTCTTAGGTATACTACCGAAGTTTCTGCTGAGACATGAGAATAACATTTCCCTCTTCCCTCTTTCTTAAAGGCACCACAGTGTGATATCCTTGCTTCGCACCACTGGCGCTCACCTTTCTAGCCAAGAACTTGGGAATGTTGGAACAGAACTCTGTAGGTAAGAAATCCTTTTTGTTTCTTTGAGGGTTTTGCTGGGGTGGCATACCTTTGGCACTCTGGATTTTTTGGACTTCAACTCCCAGTATCCACAGCCTCTGTTGCCTATGATGAACTGCTACAGGGCTCAGTGGTTTAGGTATCTGGCTGTGGAGCCAGAGGTTGAGAGTTCAGTTCCCCACTGGGCCTCCTTGAAAGGGGCTGGAGTCAATGATCCATGGGACCCTTTCCAGCTCTGTGGTTCTAAGAATAAGAATATGGGTAAGAATAAAGGACTATGGGGTAATAGTTTGTAGTGCCAACACGTCACTTTGTTTCTGTGCACTCATCTGGTGTATACTGGGATGATGTGATTGTATGCAATGACTTCTGCAACATTACATATTGAGGGTCCTGGAAAAAGCCCATTCACACAATCACTTACCCTTGAGGCCATTAAGTTTGGAGCCAACTTGTGGAGTATGTTTCTCTTTCCCATTGCATACCCGTGGCAGTTGAATGGTTAAAGATAGCTTCTAACACTGATTAATTCAAGATATTGGATCATTGTCTTCACCAGCAATATTCTTAAAGGCGAAATACCTAGCAAGCATTCACCTTATGAACCTTGTTATATTTTTGAGATACAGTATACCTGGTGAAGCTTCTATTAGTGTTCCAGTAGCAGAAATTGAGAGAATATCTTTGAACATGATTTTCTTTTGTGTGTTCTAACCACTGATTCTGCATAAGAACGTTAATATAGGCTTCTCCCTCTTGTTTGACAAGCTTGGAATCTGCTTTGTTAAGACTTAGCTGTCAAGAGGAGCAGCTAAAAAAAACCTTATATTCTTTTGTGAGTAAACTGACCCCACACTTAGCCTCTTCTGCCCTCTGAAAAACCTGTTTAACTGGCTAGCCTTAGAGAATGAAGCTTTGAACAGCAACTAGAAAAATAAATGTATCATCATGATGCAATTTGTACCAAGTTTTTTCTTGTTAGCTAGGAATGGATTTCCAGTTCCTGTATATCTGCTGGTTATGATAATATGGGAGTTGTAGCTTTTAAAGAAAGAACAGTGTTTCCAGGATTTTAAAGCATGGGTGAAAAATATTTTAGGATAATTATCTATAGTAGCCATTCTCATCCCTCCCCCCTTTTTTGCCATGGTCATAAACACAATATGAAAGAAATGTAGGCAGAATCAAGACTTAGTACGTTGCATAAAAACCATATAAAGGTGCTGTATGAAGAACTGTTTCTAGTCTGTGGGCCCTTCTAGTGTGCCAGGGACTCCCTGGGGCAATATTCCACCCCCCTCCTTGAAAATAGCTCATCTATACTGTAGTATCTTTCTTCCTCAGAGGTGGGATGTAAGCAAAGGAACTGTATCAGATGTTAAGGGGGGAATATGTCTTCTGAGAAACTGTGATTCATCTGTAGCTTAAGCAGGGAGCAAGCCTTTTTCATGAAGGATGTCTATTGTCCCCCAACTGTGGGAGAGGAAGGTAGAGCACATGGGCATCACCTGCTTACAGAGATGGGAGAAGTTACATTTTTTTTGGACCATAGTCCATAGAAAACTTAAGCTGACATGATGGATGAGGTATCCTGGGACCTTTAGTCTTAAAAAAGAGGAAATACAGTGGTGCCTCGCTTTACGATTTCCCCACATTGTGATGAAACCGCATTATGACGATCTTTTTGCGATCGCAAAAGCTGATCGATGGTTTCAAAATGGCCACCGAGTAAATAAAATGGCTCCCCGCTGTTTTCTGGGATGGATTCCTCGCTGCACAGGCACCGAAAATGGCCGCCCTATGAAGGATCTTCGCTGGACGGTGCGTTTCCAGCCCATTGGATGGTATTGAAGGGGTTTCAGTGTGTTTCAATGGGCTTTTTATTTTCGCATTACAACGTTTTCGTTCTACAGCGATTTTGCTGGAATGAATTAACGTCGTAATGTGAGGCACCACTGTATTGTATTTATAACTTTTGCCAACTGGCAAAGTTCAGGTTTGCTTACTTGCCCAGTTATTTTAACAGCCCACTGCTGGGATACAGTGTACACTGGCTCTCCATTTTTCTAACATTATCTGGGGGGGAGGGGTGTCATGATGCAGGAAAACAAAATTATAGCAGGAATACAGCAATCCATTAAAAAACACACCTCTCCAGGATCTTATTCGGCTAAAGATTCTATTTGATTGACATTTCTCATACAGTAACTAGTAAAAAAGTCAAATGAGCCACGACCTGTTCATATTTGGTTGCCCCTCCAGAAAGAAGGATTGGGGGGGTTTGAGGGGGGAGCAGGAGCATGAACCAAATGCCCATTTTTCGTTCTCGCTTTGCTTTCTCTCCTCTGTACCAAAAGACCAGTTAATGAAATCCAAGGATGTTTTCCTTCAAGTCTGTTATCATAGCTTATCTCTCTGCTAAAATGCTGTTCTATTCTGATCGAAGCTGTCGAGAGAAATTATGATTTTGACAGAACTCTGACCATACCTCTAAATGCCTGATTATCTTTCCAGTGAAATAAAATATGGAGTGGGTTTTTTATTATCTTAATCTGTCATCTGTCCTGGCAGTTACAGAGTCTGCATAAATTTTTTTTAAAAAATGGCACAGGAAAGCTGCCAAACTGGGCTGATATCCTTGAAGGTGCTGCAGGCAGAATTATCTTCCCCTCCTGCCAAATCACTATTCTGCTTATCAAGGTTCTTCACCAGCAGAGAAGCATCATCTTTTCCCTATCTAGGTGACACTTTTCAGCTATAAACATCTCAATCTCCTAGAGTGGCTTAGGGTGCTTTTTGCAAGGAGTTAAGGTAGAAAGATATGCAAAGATACAGTACCAGGGAAATGATAAAAGATGTGTCACATTGCCTCTTTGGTGGCTTATCCTCTTAGGATGGCCCTGTGCAATATGTGACCGAGTACAGAATCAGAACTTGAAAAATGTTAAAGCTAGCAAGTTAAAGTTAGTTCAACAATTAGCCTATCAACCTTAATCATTTTAACAAACATTATAGAGATAGACATGAGCGCAAACCGCCACCGATTTGGTGATTCGTGCTGGTTCGTATTGATCAAACAGGTGTTTGATGCTTCTCAGCCCCACCTCCTCCAGCGGGCATCCACATAGGGGCGGTGCCTGGAGGAGGCGGGACAAAGAATCCTGGGTGCTGTCTATGAGTGGGTGCCTGCTGGAGGAGGCGGGGCTGGGAAGCACCAAACATCTGTTGGGCCAATAAATGAACTGGCAGAAACAGCCAAACTGGCAGTTCATGCCCATCTCTATACAGAATGCATTCTTTATATTGATTATTCATAACTTGATGTTAATAACTTGGTAGATTGTTGTTAACTGACTGGATAGCTCAGTAGTATCTAGCTATGGAGCTAGAATTTGGGAGTTCAATTCCCCTCTGTGCCTCCTGTGAATACAGCCAGCCAGTGGGGCTATTCCAGAAGAAGGAAACAGAATTGACTTGACATTGTTGTTGCTGTTATTTTGTTGTTTTAAATTTTTTTAAAAAAGTCAACCAGAAGCATAGAATCATAGAATAATTGAGTGGAAAGGGGCCTAAAAGGCCATCTAATCAATTCCCCTACTCACTGCAGGAATCCAAATCTGACAGATGATTGTCCAGTTTTATTTTGAATGCCTCTAGTGTTGCAACGCTCATCACCTCCTGTGGTAATTGGTTCCATTGTCATACTGCTGTAACAGTTTTCTCCCCCTTATATTCAGCCTAAATCTGGCTTCTTGTAGCTTCAGCCCATTATTATTTGTTCTGCACTCTGGGATGATTGAGAATAGATCCTGCCCATCTCTGTATGACTACTTTTCAAGTGCTATCAGATCTCCCTCCAATCTTCTCAAAGCTAACCATACCCAGTTTAAAGTTACTACTACTACTACAGTGGACCTTTGACTTACAGACGGCTTGACTTACAGACTTCTTGAGTTACAGACTTCTGTGGCCGCAAAATTTAGGTTTGACTTGCAGACTGAGATTTGACTTACAGACCAGAAAAAAACCAAAATGGAACAAAAACGGCCTGTTACGGGATTAATCGGTTTTCAGGCTAAGCATACCCAGTTTAAAGTTACTACTGCTGCTGCTGCTGCTGCTGCTGCTACTGCTATTGCTACTGCTACTACTGACAACAACAAATCCAACCTCACCATAAGAAAGTGAGCTGGCACAGATTGATACAGTTGTTAAAATTGCAGGCAACAGATCACTTATTAAAATATTCATTCCAAGGTCTGGAAACTACAAGCTATGTGTATGGCTACAAGTACAGTTCACTTCTTTTTCAATTCTAAATGGGTAGAGAAATTTTGTTACTGAGTCTCTAAGGACTGATAGGCTGTTTGGCTTGGCAGGTCACTGGCTTGGCAGGCCTACCTTGGATTTTCCAGAAATACTCCACAGGTCATGCAGTCCATATGTGTGTACTTCATAACATCTTGTTTTTTTAGGCTGCAGACAAATGAGAGATATTTCAAGCAGCTTTTGGAGGCTTCTGGATGAAGCATTTCAAAACTCTGGAAAAACTGAGCTGATACAGATGACAGTGACTGTTTCTCCTGAACAACCTGGACTAATTTAGTATGTTGCCCCTTTCTTCCCATGCCAGTGGAGTCTTGCATGGGAAGTTTCCCTGGCTCCAACCATCTTAGTGTCTTCCTTCCTTCCTTCCTTCCTTNNNTTCCTTCCTTCCTTCCTTCCTACCTACCTACCTACCTACCTACCTACCTACCTACCTACCTACCTACCTACCTACCTACCTACCTACCTACCTACCTACCTACCTACCTACCTATGGGGAAGTAAAATAGAAGCTTCCCCAAACTAAATTTAAGTACTGTACCTGAGATGAAAGACATTTGCGTGGAAGAAAATTTCCTCTGAGGTTTTTAGGGGCTGATTTATACTTCTGCTGACATGTCTATGCTATCTGTATAGAATGTATAAAAGGGAGAGATACGTTTCCGAGCATTCACA